TCTCTCTCTCTCTCTCTCTCTCTTTCTCTCTCTTTTATGCACGCTCTTAGTCTCATTACTTTGGCTACCTTAGGGTTGCATTCCCCACACCCACGAGGTAGACAATTTTCCTTTATTCGCAGCCCTGAGGCTGCGGTATAGTGGGTTTCGGCGTCTGTATCAAGGTATCACATTTTTGGCGGTGGGAAAAAAATTGTGTGTCAAAGTGGGTACTTAGGGGGCAAAAACAATTGGGGGTCCGGTCTTCGGAAAAATTGCGGACCACCTACAGCTAGCTCTGGTAGAACTGTGACTTTTGGAAAAAGGAAGGATTGGTCCTCGGGAGAAAGCGGACCCCAAAACGAAGTGGAGACGTTTGATCGGTCCTCGGGTGGAAGCGGACCCCAAAACGAAGTGAGAGCATGTGAACTGCAAAAGGGCCCTCAGGCCCAGACGTTAAGGTCCAACTTCTCGAAACAGGGAGGTCACGCGCAACAAAACACGTGTTTTGCAATAAGCAACTTTGACGTTTTTCTGTGCTCGGAAGAATCAACAGAAAAAAATATATGAAATTTTGAGAATCTATACATGAGGTTGTGTTCCTTCCAGGAAAAATATCAGAACATTTTCAAAAAATCATTTAAACGGCGAACTTATCGTAACGCCGATTCACCATGTTTTCCATTTTTGCTACTCAGCCATGTGTGGGCCAACTGAAAAAGTACTCAAAATTCAGTGAGTTTTCACGCTTAGAAGAATGCATAAAAAAACATGAAAATTGAAATACTCGTAGATTTTGTTGTGATTTTTCCATTAAAAAATATTAAATAATTTTTAAAAATCATTTCAATCATGAAATAGATCGCAGGTGCAATTTGACTCATATTTCAATTTTGCCATTCAACGTCTCTCTCTCTCTCTCTCTCTCTCTCTCTCTCTCTCTCTCTCTCTCTCTCTCTCTCTCTCTCTCTCCCTCTCTCTCTCTCTTTGGTAGCCCTCCCTCCCCTCTCTTTTTCTCTCTCTCACTCATATCGACAAATGAAACAAAACTCTCTCTCTCTCTCTCTCTCTCTCTCTATCTATCTATCTATCTATCTATCTATCTATCTATCTATCTATCTATCTATCTTTCTCTCTCTCACTCTTTATCTCTCTCTTACTTATATCAATCAATGAAACATTTTATTTTTTATTTTTTTTTCTCTCTTTGGCTGCCTTAGGGCTGCGTTCCCCACGCCCACGCAGTAGACAATTTTCCTTTATTCGCAGCCCTAAGGCTGCGGTATAGTGGGTTTCGACGTTTGTGTCAAAGGGTCGCAATTTTGGCGGCGGGCAACCTGGATGCAAAGTGGGTACTTAGGAGGCAAAAAAAATTGGGGGACCGGTCCTTGGCAAAATTGTGGACTACCTACAACTAGCTCTGGTAGAACTAAAACTTTTGAAAAAAAGAAGGACCGGT